TCTTCTTCTTCTTCTTCTTCTTCTTCTTCTTCTTCTTCTTCTTCTTCCTCTTCCTCTTCCTCTTCCTCTTCCTCTTCTCCCCCCTCTCAAATTAGGCTCATTCAAATTAATTTCATTCTTGTGCCACTTTATTGTTCTGACAAAAAATGAGGTATCCTACTAAAATAAAATAAATTAATATATCACAAATCCTTCTGGTCAGTTCCAACTTCCTTGTCCTCTGTTATCACCATCAGCTTGCTGGCTCAAAAAACATATTTTGCAAAGGGCTAGTCTGTACCTTCAGGCTGATGATCCCTTCATTATCAATTATCTCTGTAAGAGAGCTTTGGTGAGTTTAAGTGGACTAGATACTGTTCTTGAAAAAAGAACATTAAAAGTCTTGCAAAAGCTTAAGATGAGTAAAGCTCGGTATAATGTAACATCTGGGGGGAAAAGAACACAAATTTTGTTGAACATTTTGGAAAACCTTTTTTTATAGTAAAGAAGAACAATGTATTCATGACTTCGGGCATATCAGAAGATTGTATTGATGTGAAAGCAACAGAACATGGTATGGAGAATTATTTAAATATAACGATCTTATCCCCCATTTGGTGTGTAAAAGCTGATAGAGAAGGAAATAGAAAAGGTAAAAGATTGAGGAAAATTGGTATAGATACCGTATCAATCAGTGACTGACACAGCTCTGTTTCTTTTCATCAGGTAGTGTTGTACTATTGTGCTGTACTGAACACTCTACCTCTTTTGGATGAGTTTGACCTTATCGGTTAGTCCTTTACTTACGACAGTTCAAAGTTATGATGTAGCCCAGGGGTCTTCAAACTTGACAGCTTTAAGACTTATGGACTTCAACTCCCAGAATTCCTCCTCCAGTCATGTTAGTGAAGGAATTCTGGAAGTTGAAGTCCACAACTCTTAAACTGGCCAAGTTTGAAGACCCTTTGTATAGCCAGTGGTGGGATTCAAATAATTTAACAACTGGTTCCCCCAGGGTCAGGTTGGCTGTTGTGGGAGGCGTGGCCATCCCTATCCTCCAGCACATGCAGGACGAGCCTCCCGCAACAGCCAACCTGACCCTGGGTGAAGTGGTTGTTAAATTCCCTCCTCCCCTCTCGCTTTCAAAGTGGATCCTGGATGCTGTGCTGCAATGGAGAAATGGGAAACGGAGGGGCTGGCACGAGGGGAGGAGGAGGAGCAGGGAGAAGAAAGAGGGAAAAAGTCCTTCTCCTTCCCTCATGTCAGCTGCTCTGTTGCCCCTTTCTCCATTGCAGCATAGCACAGTCCCAGGATTCTCACTTTGATAGCAGGGCAGTGGTGGTAACTTAACAACCAGTTTGCCTGAATCAGTGTGAACCGGCTGAATCCCACCACTGGGTATAGCCCCAAAAAAGTGATTTACAGCCCAGATTTGAAGTTCCACAATCCCCCTGACCAGTCATGCACTTGAGATGCTTTGGTAATTGGCCTGCATTTATAGCCGTTGGCAGGGCCCCATTAGTCACATGACTGTAATTTACAAAGTTTTTCTCAGAAGCTGGGGTTTACCTCTGCCTCATAATCTGCCCCATAGCAAACAATGGGTTCCCTTAACAATTGTGGCCTTATAACAGTGGTGGGATTCAAAAAGTTTTACTACCGATTCTGTGGGCATGGCTTGTGAGCATGATGTGGCTTGGTGGGCATGGCAGGAGAAGGATACTATAAAATCTCCATTCCCGCCCCACTCCTGGGGGAAGGTTACTACAAAATCCCATTCCCTCCCCACTCCACTAACCTGCTTTCCAGCTCCATTCTCCTGTGCAGGGCAACAAAAGAAGGCCCAGCCAATCAGCTGGGACTCAGGTGGTAAAGAATAGATGGGGATGGGGCCAGTTAGAGGTGGTAGTTGCTGGTTCTCCAAACTACTCAAAATTTCTACTACCGGTTCTCCAGAACTGGTCAGAACCTGCTGAATACCACCTCTGCATTACAACCTGCACAAAAAAGGTCATAGAATCGGATGTGGCCAAATGCTGGCCTGGTTTACTACCATTATGATTTATGACCAAAATTGTGGGATCAATTACAATCATAAGCCTATTGCACAACACATGTATAAGGCTTGAGTTGCAATGATGTTGCTTTGATCAGAAGGAACATTTTGTTTCTGTGGTGAATGTTGCTACCAGTCACTCTTCCTACAAAGGAACAACCAGTTCTTGATCTGTCACAAACCATCAGAAGAAAGAGATGTAAAGTTTCAACTTTGTGACTATTCTGGGTATGATTTGAATCTTAGAGTTTCCAGCTGTTGGTTTTCTATTCCAATTATAGCTTTTCAGATATCTGCCATAAAACTAGCTTATCAAAAACTATGTCCTTGTGTGCAAGTCTTATAGACTGAGAGGCAGGTAGGTGATTCTGATATGTGACGCGTGAAAGTTCAGTGTTTAAACATCCATGTGGACGTGTGTCATATGACTTGATTTAAGCAGGTACATCACTTCTATCCTACTTATTTATACCTTCAAAGAGGAAAGGTTTAAAAAGGTGCAGGGGAAATGAGAACTGTAAAATATTTGCTAAACCTGGGGGAAATCTAGCTGCCTTGGTCCTTGAGGAATAGGGATATCCAGGCACTGTAGCAATCACAAAATTCTATTTTTCACTTGGAAGAACAACTCTTAAGAAACCCAAGTATAAGAAGATTGTCATCAGGAAAGAATAGCATGAGTTAAAATTCTTTTTCCATTTTATTTTTCAAGATCTTCCAAGAAGCAACAGACAAAGAGAGGTTTTAAGGCCTGCCAGACTGCAGCCGCCACAAGTGACTAAATACAGAATGGAAAAGAAGAGAACTGATGAAAAAATTCTAGAGGAGAATCATGAAACAGACAAACAGGTAAAATATAATGCACCATCAAGAGTACATGTTCTTATTGTTGCAGCCATGAAGCATCCAGTTCACATAAGGCTTTGAAATATCCCGAAGGTACTTTTCAACAAGCAGCTGGACTTCCTTGGTTTTTTTTTCCTTGAAAAAGTGTTGACTCTCATCCAAGAACTAAAGAAGCTTCTTGGATAAGAAGCAAAACATTTTCAAGGGAAAAAAAACAAGAAAGTCCAGCTGCCTGTTGAAAACCACCTTTGGGATGTTTCAAAGCCTTTTTAGGCAAATGTGCTAACCAAATCCAACAAAATTGTTTTTTCTGTTTTTTGGGAAAAATAGTTCCCACGAAGAGGGCAAATTTGGGTACTTACAATACAGGTTTCTTACTTCTGGAAGCTACTGCTGTAATGGATAGAATAAAGGAGGTGGGGAAGTTATCTCAATCGGTGTGTTTTAGAGTGCATGTGAAAGAAATTTGATGTAATGAATTGTTTTTAGATGTCTGAAGATACCTATGCATGGACTGATGTCTCCAAAAAGATTCCTTGCCCACTACAGATTTCAAGCTCTAGCACAATGCAGTAAGTTAATTGAAATCTATTTAAATGATGATGATCGAAAGAAAGAAATATTCAGCCATTTAGTCAACCTTTTCAATTATTCTGAATTATAATTTGAGTTTGCCTCTTTACAACCTGGAAAAGTGGGGCATACTTTCAGATTTTGAAGTAGAGGCAAGGAAATTTCAGAAGGATGCCACCATAAAGAACAAAAGGTCAAGTCTTCAATACTTAATAGAATTATTATAGAGAGAATTTTATGAACTTTTTTCGTGAGGAAGGAAGGAAGGAAGGAAGGAAGGAAGGAAGGAAGGAAGGAAGG